TGCTGAAATCTACCGGAGAAACTCGGCTCCGAGCCATAGGCACCCTTGCCCGGCCTTGACAACCACTGACGGTACTTGAAGTTCCAAGGGCAGGAGCTGGCGCCTGCCCTGCTGAATACAAACTCGGACAGTGGGCCTTCTTGTGGCCCCTCTGACTGCAATGGAAACGTATCAGATCAAGTCCCTGGGCGATAGTAATAATGCAATCCCTACTAAAATGGCCAATCTGGCTGCACTGGAAACATCCGGCATGGCCACCACTCCTACGCCTGCACACACCCATGTGCGTCCTTCCACACTTCCCGCATCGACTGCGGCTCTGGTAGTTCCTCGTCCTCAAATCCGAACCCTTGGGTCTCTTACCCGAACCTGTGGCTACCTGAGTCTCATCCATTTTCCTCTTCCTTTCCGACCCCCTGCCTGACTCTTGCTCCTGCGTTACCCCATCGGCAACGCCTGCCGACTGAACAGCAACTGTCTGATCCTGGAGCCTCGCTATCAATCTATCAGTGGTCCTCACAACCATGTCGGGCAGATCCTCACGAATGGCTCGCGAAACTTCCTCAACTAACCAATCATGCAAAGGTCTCTCTTGGAGACAGAATGCCCCACTCACCCCTGCCCCCTGATGGCAGTAACTAGAAATGGGATCTCCCTCCCTGATGGATCCCTGAACTCCATAAGATTCGGGACCTAGACGAGCCCCAATCTGTCCTGAAACCATCCCGGCCTTAAAGGCCTCAAGATGACTGTCCATGAGCTCCACAATGGCCTCTCTAACTGAACTGAAGATCACTGGAGTCTGATCAATGATGTTGCACATAATCTCTGCGGAAATGAAATCCTTCATCTGATCATTAATCTGCCCGGCCCTAAAGCCCGAGCCAGACCCCTCCCCTGCACTTGAACTACCAACTGATATCTCGTGCAACGTCACCATGCTGAAAATATAACAATTCCTGATCAATTTACACACTACCGCTGAGGGATCCATCACACACTCTACTAGTTCCTTGGTTTTGCCTCGGCCCCTCTTGAATCGAGTACGGATTCTCTGCTTTCAGTAGTATGGGCCCCTACTACCTTCCACATCTACCCGTACTTTCCTCAAGAGTTACCTCAATTCCACCAAGTCCCCTTTACTCTTCTATTGATCTCTGCTACTCTCATCCTAGGCTTGCCCTAGGGAACCTCTGACTCTACCCAAACAGTCCTCAGCTGCTGAAGGCCTCCTTGTAATGCCAATTAGCCACCACCTGAATACCATCACATGTGATGAGGCTCGGATAATCCTTCGAGTAAAAGTCTCGTCCTTACAACGGTTGGACTCAGACAAGAGCTGCGCAGTAGGGCCAAATCTAGCACTCTTAGATTATCCAACCCTAATCACATGTGATGTGACGTATTCACCTAATGGCTAACTCCCATCACTCAGAGTCCCACAAAGCACAAAGCAAGCACCATTCAGATAAAGGAAACATACTTAGGCAAAACAATTCTCATAACAAGAAACTGCACTAGCATACAATGCTAAGCTCATGCTATCAGGCATAACCTACGCAGGCTATCCTACTACTGTCTACTCAATACTAGCATGCAATTCTTATCAGCTGAAACACATAAAACAGGCACATAAGGCATCACCCTAGATCCTTAGTCTTATTCTAGCATGCTGTTCTACTGAAGCTGAAACTGAAACTGAAACTGATAATGATGATCATAACATAACTTGTATGGGTAAATTGGGAGTACTTACTTGAGCTCGGCTGATTGCATGCACCACACCCTTTTCTCGTTTTCAAAACTCTTTTCTTTCTAAGTTCTTTTTCCAAAACCCTTTTTCAAAAATGTTTTTCTTTTGAAAATCCTTTTATCGTGTCCTTAGTTTGAGTTCAAATACACTCGAATGCATATCTGAATCCCTCAAACCAAGGCTCTGATACCAACTTGTAACATCCCAAAAAAACACAGTCTGAAAATTTCGTTTAATTTAATGATAAAACCTTAGTCAATAAACCTCATATAGAAATCATAAGCAATGTATCTCAGAATATTATAACAACTGTCAAATATATCAGAGTAAAAACATCCCAGGCTGAACAAATGGTGTGTGCACTGCAATATTCCCGAGCTCCTCTTTTGAAAACCGAGTACCTGAAACCAAAACTGAAACTGTAAGCACGAAGCTTAGTGAGCTCCCCCAAACTACCACATACCATACAATAACATATAAACACATATTGGGCCTTGCCCACTGCATCGGGACGAAGCCCGGAAACTGCATCGGACCGAAGTTCGGAACTGACTGGGACCTTGTCCCCTGCATCGGACCAAAGTCCGGAACTAACTGCATCGGACCGAAGTCCGGAACTGACTGGGACCTTGTCCCCTACATCGAACCGAAGTCCGGGACTAACTGCATCGGACCGAAGTCCGGAACTAACTGCATCGGACCGAAGTCCGGAACTGACTGGGCATAGCATAGCATAGCAAAAACACATATCAAATAGCATAACACACATGATCATAAACTCATATATTGCATACTACGTCAGGCCGTAGCCCATAACACTTAACACATAAATCTTGTCTGAGCCACGAAGGCATCAAACAAACTAACAACTGCATCGGACCAAAGTCCGGAAACTACTGCTACTAAACGGGCCGGCATTGTGGCCTTAGACCCGTTCTTACTGGAAGGAAACTCACTTGAGACTGATGAACTGATGCTGCTAATCCTCTTGACTGCTGCTTGACCTCTGACTCCGAACTGCTGCTCCACTAACTCTTCGAACTTCAAAAGCCAATAAAACACTTAGTCCAACTGACCTCCAAAGGTCACTAGGTCAACTCTGGTCAAGGTCAAAATCCTAGTCAATGTCAACCTTCCAAGTCAACCCTACTCCCCGAGTTTACCTACTGACTCGCCGAGTTCCTGCGCTCAGGGTCTTTCTTATTCGCGACTCAACTCGCCGAGTCAGTCTATGACTCGCCGAGTCCAACTAGTTCCAAGTCCTGTCCTGTCCAACTCGCTGAGTCACCATCCGACTCACTGATTCGAGTCTCAACTCGAAGGGTTTAGGGTTTCGCGATCTGACTCGCGGAGTCCAAGAACAGACTCGCTGAGTCCTAGACAATCTTCAACCAACTCGTCGGGTTGTTCATCCAACTCGCCGAGTCCATGCCTAACTTCATCCGACTCGACGAGCTGCTCATCCTACTCGTCGAGTTCCTCCTCATCTTCAAGCTACTCGCCGAGTCCACTCGAAGGACTTGCCGAGTCTATCCAGTCCTCAATCCATGCAGTGGCTTTTCGAGCCAAACAGAACTTCCAACTCATAGATCCATACTTCTAGGGCCTATTCCCCACGTAAAGTGGCAAACTTTACGTGTAGAATGAGAGATCTATGCTCAAAACACACTAAACTAGGGTTTATGGAAAACATGCTTCTTCAACATACCAAGGGCTGATACTTTAGGGGATTCAAGACCAAAACCAACATGGATCTGAGGTAGCAACCTCAGATCTGAACCTCCAACTCGAATTGGATACATATCATACCAACAATGGCCAAAACTCACACATAAGAATAGATCTAGATGAAAAAGGGAGTCCAAGCAACAACTTATTACCTCCAATTGGTCTGAAATGACTCCACAATCCCAGATCTACAGTCCCTTCTTGCACCTCCAAGGTCTTTCTTCCTCCTCCAAGCTTTAGTGCATTCTTCAAGGCAAGATCTAGCTCAAAAACGGATATAGCGGCTAGGGTTTGGTGTTCTGGGGTAGAGAGGCAGTAAAGGAACCCTCGGAAGGAGAATGAGATGCTTAAATAGGCTCCAAGTTCCCGGATTTCGGGTTTTCCTCGATCAGACCCAACTCGTCGAGTCTCCTTGGCCGACTCGCCGAGTCGGTCACTTTCACTACAACCCGGATCCTGCTCGGACTCGCCGAGTCCCTCCATGGACTCGCCGAGTCTCCCCTAAACTTGAGGTTTTCTTTCTTTTCTTGGCTTTCCAAACTTTGGGGTGTTACATTTTCCATAAGATGCAATGTTTTCTTTAATTACTAGTATAGTCCGTGGTACATATGTGTATGTATATAAAGATAAGAATTGCAATACTTTGAAGCCATTTTTTCTGCCTCTTTTTCTCTTTAAAAGACGAGAGTGTCAAGGCTCTTTCCCTCTCCTATCTCTTGCAATTTGTTTTTGTAGATTTTGGTGTTTAATGTGATTCGTCTTTATGACTAATTTGGTATTAGCTCTTAGAGGCTTAAAAAGTACTTAATACAAGCGAATACTAGAGTCTTTGGTGGCTAATACTTGCTTGGTGGATACTTCTAGAGAAGCTCTACTTTGAGTCTTTTTCCATCCCTATCAACTTCTAACCTCCCGAGAGGAATCAAAGTCTTCAAAGGTTGTATTTCGTTTTCCTTATATGGTTGTTTTAATCTTTCATTTGATTGCCAGATGATCATTGGTGGGAAATAAACTAGTTTATGATATTCATTTTAAAATTATTACGTTGTTCAACTCGTAGCTAGTTTTTATTCTAATGCTTTACCCAATTGAAGTAAGCATTTCTCCTATATCTTGTTCTTTTCAATTTTGATAAATTTTAATAGCTTAGAACATTTTCAAAAGTAATTGAAAGAACATGTTCGTAAATAATATGACTGCCACTTTTTTTATATGTTTGAAATTACAAAAAGAACATGTTCAATATTTTTTGGTAAGGATATGTTCTAAAATTTTAGGTGGTCTGTTTTACATGTTATTAAACCCAACAACATGTAAAACAGACCACCTAAAATTTTAGGTGGTAAGGATATGTTCAATATTTTTTGGAAAGGATATAAACAAACCTATACAAGACATATCTAACACAACATTAATAAACCCAACAACCACCCCCTTTGTGTCAAAATCCGAAGGAGAGTCTTCACTGTTGCCTTTTTTGTGTGTTGAAAAGTTTGGGCATTAAATTCAGAAGCACGCTTTAGACAGTCTGATACCACTTGATCATATTTGAGAAACACTTCAGATCCACAACAAAGTTTACCTTGCAAGTTTCAACAATTGCGAGAATAGTCTTCAGAGCGATGGTTGAGTAGAGATGGTTGTCTCTCAGAAAGAAAACACTCTTCTGAAGCTTTTTACGAGACTTTCGATTATACGCAACACTCCAGTGCTCTTTCTGAATAACTCCCAACTTCATCTTCTTAACGTCCCGAGGCTCCTCTTCACGTTCCAAAATAGGCCTTTTCTGCAACACCAACGCTATTTCCACATCCATCTTCGCAATATCTAAGACATAGCAGATCAACATCTTTTTCAGATGGGAACCGATCGGTTCGTAATTTTTCTTATCCTTCATGAAAATATTGAACAGTGAGATCCAGTTGTACGGATTCATATACGGAAAGTTTGCCAAAGTAAATTCATCCAACACATTATCAACTCCTCGGAATCCCTTGAACCTTATGTTCATAAAATCGTCAGTAGATACAACCGAGGAAACCTACAATCCCTTAATCCTCTTCAAGCTCCAAGAATGATACTAAGGCTTGGAAAACTTCAAGTTAAAATTGAAGAGTTTAACATTTACCCCTTTCTCTGAAATCAGAGTCTTTTCTATATTCTCAAAACATCTAAACAGAAAAGCCATGAGAGTAATCGGAAAGTCAAACTGAGAGGTTGCTTCGTTATTTAGATCAAATGACACCGTAGGCTCAAGCCAATAGACATTTGGAGCATCAATGGCTACTTTATGAATTCTATCAATTGACCATGGAAGAAAAAGTTATTTATGAGATGCTAGCATCACTTTCGTAATTTTATCCTCCGCTTCTTGTGCTTCTAACTCTTTTCGAATCTTCAGAAGAACATCATGTTCTTTGTCTCTCTTCTTGCGCACAAGCTTCTCTGATTCAGAAAGCTCTTCTTCTTCCTCCTCATTATCATCAACAAGTTTCTCTTTTCCTTTTTTTGATGTAGAAGCTTCATTACCTTTCTGATCATTTGCCTTTAGTTTTTGTGCTTGTTCTTGTTCACCAGTGCTTTGCTTTGCTTGGGGTTCTCTTTTATCTTCTCCCCTTTATTTTGGAAGAGCACCACTTTCCGAAACACCTTCGATTTTGTTCAAGATTGAAAACACTGATTGAAGTTTATCCAAAAGATGTTTTCTAACAGAGACTGTGAATACAGAGTCATGAGTCTTAACAAGACGTTGCAAATACTGATTAATTTTAGAAGCATAACATTTGAGAACTGTGTTCTTGGATTCCATGTCATTAACACACTTCTTTGTCTAGTGCAACTTTACCGAAAGGACCTTGGCCTTCTGATTGTTTACTGCCAGTTGATCCATAATATTGTTTTCAACAACAAGGTCTGTTTGAAGCTTTTATATTTTGGAGATGATGGAGGCATAGAGTTTACTTTTGTCAAGCTTTATTTCAGAACAGACAAATGAGAGAGCCTCCTTCTCTGCTTGTAAAGAATTGCGTAACCCTACAGTTACGTTATTCACAGGCTCGGTATTGGAGTTTGAGGAGGCTCTCAACAAACTTAGTGACAGTGAATGCAGAAAGTATGTACCTCCTCCGAAATGGACTTGGTGACAGTGACTTCTGGTGTACTGGTGACTGTTGTTGCTATAGTAGTGGTTGAATCTCTAAAGAGAGAGGTGGAGAGTGGAAGGGAGATATGTGGAAGAGAGACTCCAACAGAAAACATTGGTGGTAAAGGAGGAATGGAAGAGATCGAAATAATGGTGATTATAGGAGATGATGTTGGAAAGTTGACAAAGAAGTCATATGTAAGAGGAACAGAGGTAGGTAGTGGACATGATACCTTCGGAATTGGTTCAGTAGGAGTGGGTTCCGAATTGGCAGTTGTTTCATCTTCTTCATGCCGAACAGTAGCATCCTCTCTGATTTCCGAATCAGTCCTTAACTTTAAATCCTCCTGAGCAGGCGAATATGGAGATCTCGGTTTCCTAGCCTGTTTTTTGACCTTCTTTGGAGTTTTCACTACTTCAGAAGGCGCAGCTTTTGCTTTTTGCTTACCTCTTCTCTTTGGTTTATTACCTTCATCGATTACCTTTCGCAATTTCTCTGTCATGGGGCGAACACCATATATAGTCAGCTTGTGATATGCGTTCACAATCGCATTGTCTGTGGGAACTCTTACCAAGATAGCATCTAGAATGGCACCAAAAAAGCTGAACTTTCTCGGATCGGACATCATAAAAGTTGTTGATTGCAGAATTGGAATGACAGCAATTACCGAATCATTCATCTGTGGAACCTTGAAGTGGTTTAGGGCTCGTTTGAACACAATAGACCTAAAGCAAGCACAAAAGATCTCAGTGCGGTGGGTAGTGGAGATTGTGCTTTGGATTAACTAAGTCCATAAGATAGAACGAAAATCGAGATTTACTCGAAGGTAGAGGCCATAGATAATAGTGTAGAATAGTCGACTTGTATTGTCAGAGCTTGTAACTCTTTCAGAAAAGCTCATGAAAAGAGAGTAAATAGCCCATACCACTTTGGAGGAAGAAAGGGCTTCCTATACTTTGATAGTAAGGAAATATCCCCATTTTATCTCATCTGGTAAAACATATTGATGAGAGCAGAAGTGGATATTGATTATGGATCCACGAGTCCTTCAGACGAAGCAAACCCTAAAAGTCTGTAGAAACGGAATTTAGAGATCGAGGTTTTGTGAGAAGATACCTCTAAGTGAATAACTCCATCAGTTTAACTATAGTTGACAGACTAACAGGCATTAGAAAGATGGACCAAAGGAACAGATTCTTCCATCAGTCCATGGTCAAAGTTTGAAACAAAGGCGAAAACCTTTAGCATTCAATCATAGGCCTTAGGGCTTCATTATAGCGAGATGAGTCGAGATCGAGAATGAGATTCTGGTTTGGCTTAACGTTCAACATGATGATGGAAGCATATTAATTAGCGAAAGAGGCAGTTTCATATGATCTGGCCATTGAAGCAACAAGAACGATGACGAACATTAGAGAGCGTTTGTGATTTTTGCTTGAGGGTTTTTGATGACTGTGAGAGCAGTGAGAGAGAATGAACCGTCAAAATCCTTTTATATAGTGTGGTATGAGTGCTGAGAGTAAATCACGGCTTGACGCTCTATTACCCTGTAAAAGTAACCTTAAAAAGTGTGACAGCTCATCAATATGTTAGACCTATTGTAACAGACACACGTGATGTTAGGGATGTCAAATGTTCACGCCTTATTTGAAATCTTATCCCCAATAAACCGTCCTTTCAGTTTTGAAAATTTCGGAATCATCCACCAATACACCAACTTGAAGATCATAACTTGTTCTCAGAATGAAAGTAACAATTTGGAATTTAGAACCAAAATTTGAAAAATCACTAGGATTTTTGTGCAGGAGTGTGCCAAAGATAAATAAATAAATCAAATTAATTTTAGGAATTCTGTGATGTCAAATAAAATTGACATAAAATCAGATGGATCCCGGGCAACGATCTCTTCCTTCTGATTCAAGAGAAAGTCTAAAGTGCTTATTTGGTATCCCGTTGGATTACGATCACTAGTTTATTAAGAAACTGTGAAATGCTTCTTTTAACAGTCTTGAAAGGTGGTTTTATCTGCAATCAAATTCTGAAACTCAATATAAGTCCGAAGATATGAAAGAAGGACTTGTTTGACCAGTGTAGCCATAAAAACAAGTAAGCTTTGGATTTTATGTAAGCGACTGGTTATAATAGAAATCTCAAAAAAATGGATCTAGTTGGGGTAGAAATGTCTTGGGTCTAGAACTTTTCATTAACATTTCTCAAAAAATTAAAATGAGATTTCATATTTGTAATGGTACAAGCCAAAAAGGTTTATGCGTCAATTCCTTGGTGAAAATATCTAGAACATTTGATTGCTCACCGTTAATTTAGAAAAAGGTTTCGGATTTTGGGTTTCACTTAAAATCATGGTGACAATCATGTTTAAGATCAGAAACACATATGTTGTGTAACCATAAACCGTAGTGGTAATTGCTGAGAGTCTCAAGGGTTACGTTTATGAACACGAAATTTGATGGAGAAATTGTATATGGGTTCCGAAGAAGAAAAAGTATCTCTGCTATAAATAAATGACCAAGCAGTCAATTCTTAACTCAATGTGAGAAGAGTAAGGTAGCTCGTTGACTTATGTGAATAAATAGCCAAATTGGGAAGAAACGATCAGAGTAAAACTTTCATTAAGGCTTCAAATATAGAGTATAAGAGGATTGAATCAACATGCAACAACATGCTTCTAGGGACACTTAGCTAGTACATAAATTCGGAAGTATACCTTCCCCATCATTCTGAATTGAAGAAACAAAGAATTTGTACCTGAAAAATGAATGTATTCACACGAAATAAAGAAAAAACGTTTTTGTGATTTTTGGATTTTCTAAAAGAGATAAAACAGAAATTAAGAAAATATTTTTGTAATTTTTGATATTTTGAAAAAGGTAAAAATAAATAAACAAAGAGTTAAAGATAAATAAATTCAAAAACTCAAATCAACAGTAACTTCCGAATTATTCTGAAGCTCAGAACGGGCCAGAAGAAACTTAATGTACAAAGGATACAAAACATTCTGAAACTCCGATGAACAGTAGATTCCGAAGCATTTCAAAGCTCGGAACCAATCAGAATTTGAAAAATGAATTCTGAGACGTTCTGAAGCCCGGAACATGAACAGTAAATTCCGATTACAAAGAGGATTTCAGAACCGAGTCACCTTCCATCATTCCTAGCCCTTGTAAAATTCGATTGAATATAGCTTCAGGTAGGGATTTTGTGAAGATGTCAACAAAATGATATGAGGATCTAACAAAGTGAACATCAACATTTCCATCCTCAACATGATCCCTTATAAAATGGTATTACAGTGCTATATGTTTTGTCTTTGAATGTTGTACTGGATTATGACAGATTCTGATAGCACTTTCGAAATCATAGTATAATGGGATTCGCTTCATGTTAATTCTGTAATCTCTTAGTTGATTCTGAATCCATACAACTTGTGACGAACATGATGTAGCTGCTATATATTTAGCCTCAGCTGTGGATCGAGACACACATGTCTGCTTCTTAGATTGCCAACTGACAAGTTTGTCATCCAGAAACTGACAACCCCCAGAAGTGCTTTTATGATCAAGTCCACATCCACCAAGATCAACATTAAAATAAGCCTGCACAAAGAATCCATAGTTAAAAGGATACCAAATTCCTAGAGATTTTGTTCTTTTGAGGTATCAGAATATGTTCTTTACAGCAATCATACGAGGTTCACGTGGATTCGGCTGAAACCTAGCACAATAAAATACATCAAACATAATATCGGGATGACTTGATGTTAGATACATTAAATACCCAATCATCTGTTAATATTGAGTGATATCACCTGCTGGCTTGTCCAAGGATGAAGTAAGTTTCGTTCCGAACGCCATTGGAACCTTGACCTTTGAGTCACCCACCATTACGAATTTAGCAAGTAATGTCTTTGTGTAGGCTTCTTGATTGATAAATATGCCCTATGAACTCTATTTAATGTTTAAACCAAGGAAAAAGTTAGTAGGACCCATTGAAATCATCTCAAATTAGTTTCCATTAGTTTTTTGAATTTAACTGTTAATTTAGGATTAGTGGATCGGAAAATTATATCATCAACGTCAATTTGGACGATCATTAAATGGTCACCATATTTCCTGCGAAAGAAGGTTAGGTCAACCGAACCTTGTTTAAATTTTGACTGCTTAAGAAAATGAGTCATTGTTTCATACATGCACATGGAGCTTGTTTCAGACCATACACTGCGTTATCCAGAACATAGCAATGATTCGTATATTTTTCATTCACGAAACCTGGTTGTTATTCCACGTAGACTGTTTCCTCGGGTTCACCATTTAGAAATGCCCACATCACATCCATCTGATAGACTTCAAAATTTGTGTGCATAGTATATGCAAGAAAGATTTGAATAGATTCAAGTCTTGCTACTGGTGCGAACGTCTCTTCATAGTCTATTCCTTACTCTTGGCAATATCATTTCACCGCCAAACGTGCCTTATTGTGAATCACGTTTCCCACTTTATCCATCTTGTTTCGAAACACCCATTTCATTCTGGCGATAGAAGCATCCTTCGGAGTAGGAACTAATCTCCATATTTTATTTCTCTTAATTTCGTTAAGTTCTTCCTGCATTGCTTGAATCCAATCAACATGATCAAGAGCAATTTTCATAGTTTTAGGCACAATTTTAGAAATGAACAAATTAAACATGCAAAATTCCAACTTTAAAAATAATGTAGTCTGTTTCGCTTTTGTTGTGCCCTTGTAAGAACGCCAGAAGACGAGTCTTCGATTACTTGAGATCTTGGATGATCCTTGGTCCACTTTGTCATTGGAGGATAATTTGAGCATGGGTTGGATCTGGTTCTGCATTAACTTCTTTGAATTCCGATTGAACATTTGAGTCATTACTCTCATTCTCCCCCTAGAAGTTTGCATTTGACCCATCATTCTGAATCGAATCCTCCCCCTGGATTGGAACATCGATATTGGAGGTTGAAGTGGAACCCCCCCCCCCCCCCTTGAATGGAGAATCAGAAGGGTGTGGTTCAGATTGAAATTCAGAAGCATTCAAAATTGGTTGATTTGTCTTAATCTTTTCAGATGCTTCATCAATAATCTTCTTCAACTCATCGGTTTGATTATCTTTTGCCTTTGATTATGATGAGATGGATTTTTCTGTTTTGTCAAAAAAAAATCAAAAATTCCTCATATAAATTTGAAAGAGGAATTTTTATTGGATTCGTTGATGGAAATATTTCCTCAGATTGACAATCTACATTCTGATACTTTTTTATATGGTTGTCATCAATGGGAAATTGAGTAACCTAACAATTTTTGACCCCTTTAAATTGCTTATTGCAAAATAACCATTTTTTCGGAATGAGTCGTTCTGAAAACAATTTTTAGCTCATTTTTTGGTGGGACGGCCCCTTACATTTCCTCCGAAATAGGTCGTTCCGGAAACATTTCTGGAGTATCCGTACGTATTTCGGATCTCAAATTCAAAATTCGAATTTCGGAGATCCAAGCTTTTTCTCTCCAGAAGCTTTGCAAGATGATTGTGATGCAGGATCTTGAAGCACCAACTCGTTCCAAGCTTGTTTAACCACCTCTTCTTATTGGAATGAACACTAAAAGGGCCACAAATGCACTTTTTAAAGCTCAAAATGGTCTTACAAGTTT